CCTGACTACTCTTCTGTTCCAGATGACCAATCATCCTCGTTGTCCCGGACATATCGCCACAGCTTCATGTAGTCACAACTGGTTGAAGTGTTAATTGGTCCTTCGAAATCTGCTGCCTTCCGAACCTCATACCTGCCATTCCTCTTAACTTTTGCAACCTCGTACGGTCCCATGTACTCTCCAGCCAACTTCTTTCTAGCTACAAACTGTGTCCGGCGTATAGCGACTAAGTCTCCCACTTTATAATCAGCTTCCGGTTTTCGTTTTCGGTCAAAATTCCTTTTATACACTTCCTGCGCTCGTTGAATCTCGATCTTTGTCTCTTTTCTTCGACTTTCCTGCTTCTTTTTCAAAATTCTGCGGTCCTCTATGTCCGACTTTTGGGACTCACTCATCTTCATGTAGGCCAACTCCTGACAGCAGGCGAAGATCTCATCGTGGGTCGACTTCTTCTGCAGCAGCTGGCACTCCTTTTTAGCTAGTGACTTCTCCTTCTTAGTGCCATCAATCTGGGCTTTGCGCAACTCACGCAGCTTGTGGTTGCTGGCCATATCTGATTTTAGGCTTGCTCTTCGCGGCGTCTCCGCCAAACACTCTTGGGTTGTTCCAGCATTGCAGCGGGTCAGCTTCTTGGTCACTCCCTCATAGGCAAGGATTCTTATATATCCATCTGTTGCCGGCTTCTTCAGCACCTTCTTCCGCATCTTGACTGGGACTTCTGCGACTGTATTCACGGCCTTGTAGTTCTTGATCAGCTGCGACACTTCTTTATCATACAGCTTTGGCTTCTCACAAGCCTTCTTCTCCAGCTGGGAAGAAAACTTGTATCCGTCGGCCGACAGCGAAAAGTTAAACTTCGAGATGAAATCGAAACCCAGCAGCGCATCATACTCAATGTCCGCATCCTCCACTACAACAAAGTTGTGTGTCGTCAACTCCTGATCTACTGCAACCTCTGCCAAAAAGTAGCCAACTGGGCACGTCATCCTCTTTCCAAGCCCACGCAGCTTCGACGCACATCTTCTCAAGATGACATTCGGTATTTTTTCAAAGACATACTTGCGCAAAATAGATACGTCGGCTCCCGTATCTACCAGACACTCCACTTCCACGTCGTTGATGGTCACCTTTTTCATGCGACTTGCACTGCGTACAACTTGAACATCTGCAGTTGATTCAGGGCAATCCCTTGACATGTGGCCCTCCTCGTTACATCTGAAGCATTTTACGGCAGCCCTGCAATCTTTGCGAAGATGATCTGCAGATCCACAATTGAAGCAGTGATTCTTTCTGTGGTTGAACTCGCGCTGCATCCTATTGTCCGGCGTCGACCTCTCGTTGTTCGGCTTGAACGGCTTCTCGCCCACTCGTTCGTACACCTCATACTGCTCCTGTAGCTCTTTATACGTTTTGCAACAATAGAGAGAGTATCTAAAGTCACTCCTCATGCTTAGGCCGTCAACAACATAAAGGATTACTGAACGTACATCGATGTTTCCAAGTGACGCAATCTTTTTCATCAGCAGTAGGTATACATGAAATGATTCGTCCTTGCGTTTCTTCCGAGTACGGAGCTGCTCATGGACATCAGCACTGCACACATATTGACGACTGAACTCTGTCTCCATCAGCATACGCATTTCTGCATATTGATGAACGAACGTAGACTCCAAAAATAATTTTGCAGTGTTCACCATTTTCGGCCGAGCCTGGACATACATTTGCTTTATGTTCAACCCGTAGGCTGCAGCATTCTGCTCAGAATTGTCGAACCAGTACTTTACTGGAATGGATTCTCCGTCAAACTCTGGAATGATTTTCGCGAAGCTTTCCGCTGCAATCGAGCATCCACTGTTCTGCTCCTCCGCTCCAAACTTCATGGCAAGCAGCTGCACAAGGTCTTTCAGCGCTTTTGTGTTTTCGTCGATCGAGCTGCTCTCAACTGCTATAACTGTTTCATTCTCCTGTTCTCCAGCTTTTCCAATGTTATCCATTTTGATACTTTTATCTGCTGCGACAGATCTAATGTAATACGGTTTTACACTCATTCCCTTCCGCTATCCGCCTTTCAAACTTCTCAGGACTTGCAATTCAGGTTTAGACGAGCCCCTAAATGTAAGATGGGTATTTACCCTCTTGTGTTACGTTTTATTATTGTTCACGCCAGAAAGGCGTGAAGTTTTGAGTGGCAGTGTAAGCGGCCAGCGCTTGCGCTCAAGCTTGTGCTCCCGCTCACTGTGTCCTCCGCTCTTCCCGTCTCCCTCTCTTTCGCTGCTCTCCAGCAGCGAACTCACCACTCCGCGGTCCCTGCAGCCTTGTTCTCCATGTAATCTAAGTTAGTATTAATCCAGAATTGAAGCAATAAAGTGAAGTGAAACGAATCTGCCCCCTATCGCCTACTCATTTTGGACACACTTGGGAAAACCTTCCAGCCTTCGACAGCCCTTGCGACGACCACACCTCCAAGAAGGACGAATACTTTTATGGCCACTCCGCCCCCTCCAGTTCATGGTCCTTCGAGCCTGCGAGCGGAATAAGTTTCCAGCGCCCCTTTGCGGATACCAAGATAAGTACGAAGTCCAAAGTCCATTCGTCCGTGGTCGCCATATTCCTTTTCCAAGGCGTTAATTTTTTTTTTCCTCGATCCGAAAATAATGAAAAGTGACAGTGAAAAGTGAGAAAATATATACATATGTGCACATAGTGATAAACGCCCAGCCACAGTGAATTTTCATCCGTTTTTAAAGTGCAAAAGTACTTTGCCAATATTGGCCCCCTACTTAGTCGTGCTGTGATCCGCTGGTGTTCAAGTGCATATATATATTTTTTCTTACGAATTCACGTTCCGTCACTCAGTTCCAAAATACGTCCGACACTAACTGCAATTCCAAATAGTATTATTACAATTTTAAAGAAAGCCTTTACACACATACATACATACCCTAACATACACCCAAATATATATGTAAATATAAAATAAAATCCGAACCCAAATATAAATTAAAAAAAAAAAAAAAACATCGGAATCCAAAATATATATTTTGTTACATAAAAAATAAAATAAATAGAACATACACCCAAATTTCCAATTTCCTCTGTGTTTTTATTTAAAAATATTAACTAAAGAAATTCAAAAAAAAGAAGGAAAAATATATAATAAAACACAAATAAATCCATACTCCGAAAAAAGAATAGAAATACATAAATATAGTTGTTTTTATTTCTCGCATTCCACACATACATAAATATATTGGGCAAGCTTCGCGCTATTCTGCGCTTAGCAAAAATTACATATTTTCATCCATACATATATACATATTTGGGCAAGCTTCGCGCTATTCTGCGCTTAGCAAAAATTACATATTTTCATCCATACATATATACATATTTGGGCAAGCTTCGCGCCATTCTGCGCTTAGCAAAAATTACATATTTTCATCCATACATATATACATATTTGGGCAAGATTCGCGCCATTCTGCGCTTAGCAAAAATTACATATTTTCATCCATACATACATACATACTTTGGGCAAGCTTCGCGCTATTCTGCGCCTAGAAAATTTACATATTTCCTACGTACATACATACATATTGGCTTCCCTCGCGCTATTCTGCGCTGAGCAACTGCTTAAACTCCAAAGCGTCATACATACGCACATACAGTGCATTTCTATTTCGTCTCCTCTTTGCTCGTTAAGCGTGCACAAACACCTGCACTAATACGTTTCCGAAAAGGCAAAGTGCCGACGGAAAAACTTCGTCCACCCACGAGATAAAAAAAAAAAAAATAAAGAATAATTCCTGGAACAACATTTTTTAAGGAAACCGAAATTCGTTTAAATTTTTTAACAACAAATACCGCCACTCTTTTTAGCTATTTTTTCGCCAGCTAGCTTTTTTGGTCAAGCCAAGGTTTTAGCTATTTTTCTTATTTTAGCTATATTTTTGTTGGCGGTGTTAGTTTTTTCGTGCGGTTCCTGGAAATAAAGGATAGCAATCTCCACTGGCCTCCTTTAGCTATTTTTTAGCCATTGTTTATACGCCGCTAGGTTGTGGTCGAGCCGATATTTTAGCAAGTTTCGATTTTTTAGCTAGGTTTTGGTGGGCGTTATTTTTTCGTGCGGTTTCTGCATATCAATCTCCATTGGCCTCCGTTAGCTATTTTTTTTAGCTATTTTTTGTGAATTTTTTTTCCACGTAGTTCTTCACGATCTTTTGCGAGTTCCGAAGAAACAAAAGAAAAACCCATACAATTCCCGAAAGTGTTTGACATATTCCGAATTTATTAGCGTTTTCCAGCTAGTTTTGGCGGGTTTTTTTTTTGTTTCTCGCAAAGTTCTACGATTGTTGTTGTCGTATTCCGGAACTTAAGGTCGAAGAAGCCAATTTTGAGTAAGTGGCTAAGAATTTGCAACAAGTTCCGGGCCTAGTTTGTAGCTAGATCTAGCTATTTTTTGTTTTTTCGCTATATTCTATTATCCGCACTCGTTTCGTAGATCAGTCACTGAGAGCTCAGTTCCCTCGTTTTAGCTAGCGACTGATCATAGATAGATTTGGCTATTTCCTTTTCCTGCCGTTTTTTTGTTACTCTGCGAGCTTCGCAGGGTTCTCCACAGCGTTTAAGGATTAAAGTTCCTTTTTCGTGCACCACTTTTCTTTTGCGGGGGGCAGGCCTTCTCTTTTCATAGGGCATAGCTGAGTATGCCCATAGAGGGAGATAAAAAGGGAATCTCCTCCCCGGCCAAGTCGAACCCATCCTCTCCGCGGCCCATTCGAGCCCATTCAGCACCCAGGCCCTCCACTCCGAGGATCAGAAGTTCGGCTTCCACCTCCAAAGGGACGGATCGTCGATCGACAAGTCCGTCAAACGCTCCACGAATAGTCATCTCTCGTCCGGTGGCAAAAGCTTCTAGCGACTCTTCGCTTGCCATAAAGTCAGAGTCTCCCTCTGTTTCAAAGCCGGAATTCCTGAGGGTGACACGCTCTAGCAGCCACAAAATGGCATCCGCTGAAAAACCAACGGCCGAACAGCCAACGGCCGAACCGCCAACGGCCGCAACCGTGTCGTTGCGCAAATTCATAGCCGCCAGCGATCGTGTGAGCATTTTTGAAGCTAAGATTAATACTCCAGGTCAAACTTCCCCGTCCCTACATCTGCTACAAGTCCGCCTGCAACAAGTGAGAGCCTTATGGGACAAGGTAGAGACGGAGTACGACATGTGCTCCGATCTAATTGCCCAAGAAGGATCCCTCGAAATGGTGTCCGTGCTGCAGAGCAAATATGACTATTGCTATTCGGTGTATGAGTCATGTTCTGCAGAGATCAGCGCGACAATTGACAGTGCCACGCCTCAAGCCGTGCAACCACCCTCCCAGCCAATCATTTCCTCCGGTTGCCGCTTACCTCCCTGCGATACAGAAGTCTTCGACGGGGACTACCTTCGATGGCCCACTTTCCGGGACCTATTCACGGCAGTCTATGTCAACAACCCCAGGCTGACACCGGTCGAGAAGCTCTTCCATCTTCTCACGAAGACGAGCGGCGAGGCGAAAGCCATCGTCTCCAAATCCCCGCTCACAAATGACGGGTTCGCCTCTGCGTGGGAAGCGCTTCAAGACCGTTTCCAAAACAAACGACTTCTAGTCAACAGCCAACTCAAGCTTCTGTTCAACTTGAGTTCCATCTCCCAAGAATCTGGTCATGCGCTGAAAGAGCTGCAGTCCACGATTCAGGGGTGCTTGACAGCGCTAGCACATTCCCAAATATCCACGGACAACTGGGATTGTCTGCTGGTGTTCCTGTGCGCAAGCAAGCTGCCGAAAGTTACCCTTTCGCTATGGGAACAGTCCCTAACGTCGAAATCCGACATTCCGGCTTGGGAAGAGATGAACACCTTCCTAAGCGAGAGATATCGCACATTAGAGGCCATCGAGGACATGAAGCCGACTCAAGCAGTCCCGAAAAAGCTTCAGTCCTTCGAAACGAAAGTCAGCACCAAGCCAAAAGGGTGTGACTTATGCTCCAAGGAGAATCATCCAGTACGCTTATGCCCGCGCTTTCTCCAAATGTCCGTCGACGCGCGTTCCGGCTACATAAAAAAGAAGCAGCTCTGTCTCAATTGTTTTGCGAGAGGCCACCAGCTACGTGACTGCACGAGCACGCACAGCTGTTTCACTTGTAAAGGGAGACATCATACTCTGCTACATCGTAATGCAACTCCTGCAAATTCAAGATCCTCCACGCCCTCTGCTCAGCTATCTTCAGGACCCTCCACCAGTAATGCATCGACGAGTAATCCTACGGTGCAGAATTACTTCGCCTCTGGCACTACAGCCGTTCTTCTGAGCACGGCAATTATCGATGTGTGCCATCTAGGCACGAACTACCGAGCACGAGCCTTAATCGACTCGGGGTCCGAGGCGACTTTCATTTCCGAACGCCTCTTCAATTTGATCAAGCTGCCATTCCGCAGCATCCAAACTCAAGTCTCCGGGCTGAACCAATCCGTTTCGGCGAAGTCTACCAGACTCTGCCATTTTCAAGTGCGATCTCCTACTAAGCCGGGTCTCCAGTTAGACACCGCAGCCTATGTCCTTCCGGCATTGGCGGGCAAATTGCCCTCATATCCAATAGCTCGGGATTCTTTGAAAGACCTGCCCGCTCTCCAATGGGCAAACCCCAAATTCTACGAGAGTTCGCAAATTGATGTTCTGATTGGGGCTGACATTTTACCTTCGGTCATGCTAAGTGGCACGCGAGGAAACATTTGCGGCTCTCTACTAGGCCAAGAGACCATTTTCGGATGGGTGCTTACGGGGCCGATCTCCCAGGTGAACTCAAACAGAGTCGCATCCTTCACGACTCAAGTGCACCAAGTAGGTGACGAGGCACTGGACACGCTTCTCAGCAAGTTCTGGGAGGTGGAAGATCTACCAGTCCAGATGGTAAAGGAGTCGGATTCCTATTGCGAGAGGAACTTTCTCCGAACGACGAAGAAAGACGCAAGCGGGAGGTACGTGGTGACGCTCCCGTTCTGCGACCCCGTAAATTCTGGATCCAATCTAGGGTATTCGAGGTCCATCGCGTTAGCTCAGTTTCTCCGAAACGAAAATCGGTTAAAAAGAGACTTTCCCCTAAAAGAGCAATATGACAGCGTGATTCAGGAATATCTGGATCTGGGTCATATGAAAGAAGTTCCGTCGACTCACAATTCTCCTACCTACTATCTTCCACATCATGCGGTGATCAAGCCCGAAAGCACCACTACAAAGCTTCGCGTTGTATTTAACGCTTCAAGCCCTTCAGCAAATGGAACCAGTTTAAATGATATTCTTCATGCTGGTCCAGTCCTGCAATCCGATCTGACTATTCAGATCCTGAAGTGGCGATGCTTCCAATATGTCTTCAGTGCGGACATTACTAAAATGTACCGTCAGATTTGGGTCGATTCCAAGCACACACCCTTTCAAAGAATTCTGTTCCGAAATAAGGAAGGAGATATCCGAGACTTCGAGTTACAGACAGTTACTTTCGGGGTCAACTGCGCGCCCTTCTTGGCTATCCGAGTGCTGCAGCAGCTAGCAAAGGACGTCCAAGGGCCATTTCCACAGGCCAGCCGCCTTATTCAGCATCACATGTATGTCGATGACGTGCTGGCCGGCGCAAATTCCGTAAAAGACGCCTTAGATTCGGTCCAAGAATTGCGAGCAGCTCTGAGTTCCGCTGGATTTCCATTAAGAAAATGGACTTCTAACAATAAGAGCATACTAAGCAATATTCCAGCTGAGCACCTTCTCCATAGCGAGTTCCTCGATATCGATGCCGAAAGCACGGCCAAGACGCTTGGTATCCGATGGAGGGCAAAGTCCGACGAGTTCTATTTCGTCCCTCCAGAACTAATAGTGGAACCCTCCTACACCAAGCGGGAAGTTTTATCCCAAATCGCTAAGTTGTTCGATCCTGCCGGATGGCTGGCTCCGTTCATCATCCGTTCCAAAATGTTTATGCAGGAGATTTGGTTGCAAGACTTAGGCTGGGATGACAAGCTTCCCACGCACATGAGTCAGAGATGGCAGTCGTTTCTCAGAGAATATTCCGACCTCAACAAGATCCGCGTTCCAAGGTGGGTTGGGTACCAGCCAGAGGTCATCGTAGAGCATCACGGCTTCTGTGACGCGTCGCAGAAAGCCTATGGAGCTGCTATCTACGTCCGCGTCGAGATGGGTCACCAGATCTTGACTCGTCTGCTGACAGCCAAGACACGAGTGGCTCCGGTGAAAACCGTGTCCCTCCCCCGGCTAGAGCTCTGTGGAGCGGTGCTTTTAACCGAAATGGTGACAGCAATCCTTCCGCATTTGCCTACCGCCAGTTCCGACCTCCGCTGCTGGACAGATTCCACGATCGTCCTAGCCTGGTTACGTAAGCCTGCTTGCAACTGGACTACGTTTGTGGCCAACAGAGTTGCCAAGATCACTCAGGCAACACCAGTCGACTGTTGGGCACATGTTCCCTCCGAGCAAAACTCCGCCGATTTAGCCAGTCGAGGCGTACCCCTGATCGACCTAGCGGATAGCAAACTTTGGTGGCAAGGACCAGAGTGGCTGCAAGGGCCTCGTGAGCTATGGCCTGCCCAAAATGCCATCGATCCGACCGAATTAGAACAGCGTGCAGTCAAGGTGCAGTTCAGCAAGACCCCGTCCGAAGAATATCTTGAGCGGTTCTCCAAACTGGACAAAGCTCTGCGGGTCTTAACGTACGTTCTGCGATTCCTTAAACGCTGCCGCAAGAGCTCGATCTCGCCCACTCCACGACCCACAAGTGATGAAATCCGGGAGGCAGAAAGAGTTTTAATCTCCATTGCGCAGCGCAGAGCATATGGCCAAGAGCAGAAGCAGCTGGCCGAGAAAAGGTCCCTTCTAGCGTCAAGTCCGATTGCGAACTTGTTTCCGTTTATCGACCAACACGGCCTCCTAAGAGCATGCGGTCGCCTTACTGCTGCCAAAGGGTTGCAGTATGACGAACGCCATCCAATAATACTTCCCTATGACTGTAGACTGTCTCGCCTTCTCATCCAATTTGCTCACCAGATTACTCTTCATGGCGGTAGTCAATTAATTGTACGCCTGATCCGATCGAAGTATTGGATTCCTAAAATCAAGAATCTGGTGAAGGCTGTGGTGAATCCGTGTAAAATTTGCACGATTTACAAGAAGCGACTTCAAACACAGCTGATGGGCGATTTTCCGACAGACAGAGTTTCCTTCTCGAGGGCTTTCACGTACACGGGCGTTGATTACGCCGGCCCTTTCGAGATCAAAAACTATACAGGGAGAGCGTGTCTCATAACAAAGGGTTATGTTTGTGTGTTTGTGTGTTTTTCTACGAAGGCTATCCATTTGGAACCTACTTCCGATCTGACAACCGAGAAGTTCCTAGCGGCCTTTGCTCGTTTCGTAGCGAGGCGCGGTTGTCCTCAGCGGGTCCATTCGGATAATGGCAAGACCTTTGTGGGGGCAGCAACTCTGCTTTCTCGAGACTTCCTACAAGCCGTCAAGGAGTCGGTGACTGATGCATACAGCCATCAGGGGCTCGTATGGCGATTTATTCCACCAGGGGCTCCACATATGGGGGGTCTATGGGAAGCGGGCGTCAAGAGTTTTAAGACTCTGTTTTACAAAGCTTCCGCGACCCGCAAGTACACTTTCGAGGAACTTGCGACGCTCCTCGCAAAGATTGAGGCTTGCCTCAACTCAAGACCCCTCTCCCCGATGTCCGAAGATCCCTCAGACTTGCTGGCCCTCACTCCGGGCCATTTTCTTGTTGGAGGACCGTTGCTCTCCACGGCGGAGCCCGAGATAAAGGGCGAAGCCAAATCGATACTCAATCGATGGCAACATTTAAAGGCCCAACATCAGCAGTTCAGTGTTCGGTGGAAAGAGGAGTATCTAAAGGAACTCCACAAACGCTACAAATGGCAATATCCGACCCGAAACCTCCAAATCGGCGACATGGTAGTCGTCAAGGAGGACAATCTTCCATCCGACGAATGGCGGCTCGGCAGAATCAGTTCTGTCTTCCCAGGAGCCGATGACCTCATCCGAGTTGTGGAGATCCGCACAGCTCGTGGGACTATTAAGCGCCCAGTCCATAAGGTCATACTTCTTCCTGCGGAGGATCAAGTATCCTCCGTTCCCAGGGACTAGGGCTTCTCAATTTCCGAGGTCCGACGTTTCGTGCTACCCCTGCTAACACTTCGTTTTTTCTTTTTTCTATTCATCGCAGGACACGTTTTTTGTACAATGGCTCCACGTCCTCGCACCGCCCAGTCCTTGGAAAGCAGACGTTCCCGAGGTACTCAGTCCTACCGCTGCCGAGTCTGCCGGGGAATCCATCCTCTTCGGAAGTGCAAGAGGTTCCGAAAGCTGAGCGCCGAGAAGCGCCTCCGAGCAGTACTTATTAATAAGTACTGCTCAAATTGCCTCGCCCACCAACATTCCGAGGGGACCTGCCGCAGCCAGGATGGCTGCAAGAAGTGTGGAGGGAGCCATCACACCTTGCTCCACATGCACGAGGAACGGGCGCCCGAACGCACACCCCAGCCAACGGCGTCACCATCACGCCCTTCACGCAAGCCTGTCCAACCCACCAGGTCGCATCCTCGCCATTCCGCCAGGTCCGCCTCCCGCTCTTCATCGCCAATTCGGGTCGCCATTGAGCGTCCACGTCCGGAGGTCTCCGCTCCGTCTACGGCGGTGGCCACGTTGGTTCGTCAGAAGACGGTCCACATACTGCCGACAGCCATCGTCGTGGTCGATACTGGATCCTGTACGTTCGAGACCGCGGCCATGATCGATCCTTGTATGGCGGTGAGCAGCATCGACCGATCGCTGGCGGCCGCTTTCCGGCTGCCCTTCACCAGTCTGGGAGACGACGAGGTCTGTTCGGCGACGCTCCGATCCCGAACAGGCAACTTCAAGCTCGAGGTCGTCCTGAAGCTGGACCCGAGCCTCAAGATCCGGACTCCCATTCGGGCTCTGAGCGACTCCACACGGGCTAAGTTCGGCGACATCCGCCTTGCGGATGAACAATTCCACCGCCCGGCAACCATCTCCCTCGTGTTGGGCGCAGATGTGTTTGCCAAACTGATCCAACCGGGGTTCCTGAAACTCGAGGATGGCTTGCCGGTTGCTCAGAGCACCGTTTTCGGATGGACCGTTTCCGGAGCTGTTCTGGAGTCATGATCCTGCCGATCCTGATTCCTTTTGCTAGCGCAAGGGGGGAGAATGTTCACGCCAGAAAGGCGTGAAGTTTTGAGTGGCAGTGTAAGCGGCCAGCGCTTGCGCTCAAGCTTGTGCTCCCGCTCACTGTGTCCTCCGCTCTTCCCGTCTCCCTCTCTTTCGCTGCTCTCCAGCAGCGAACTCACCACTCCGCGGTCCCTGCAGCCTTGTTCTCCATGTAATCTAAGTTAGTATTAATCCAGAATTGAAGCAATAAAGTGAAGTGAAACGAAGCTGCCCCCTATCGCCTACTCATTTTGGACACACTTGGGAAAACCTTCCAGCCTTCGACAGCCCTTGCGACGACCACACCTCCAAGAAGGACGAATACTTTTTTGGCCACTCCGCCCCCTCCAGTTCAATTATAATAATTTTTCGGATATTATATGTTTCTAAATGTGCAAGTTTTCTTTCCTATTATCTGCTTCTTCCGTTTTCTTTTCAACTTTAGTTACTTTCTCTGCTTTTATATCTGCTTAATTTCAACTGTGACTGCTGAACTCCAAAAACACAATGAATAATTCTCTCTCTGTTCCTGCTTAGCTGCTGTCAGTTTCAAGCTCTCGGCTTGCTTCGATCCCTTTCCTTTTTACATTAATTTGGACCAATCCCAAACTGAACAGATCATCAATCACCAAAATTTCATGCGGCAAATGCAGGTTACTGGGAACCATTACTTGAGAGTCCACATCATGCACCCACACCAACGAAGAGAGGTTGAGGTCGCCAACGACACAGATGAACTGCGAATCCTCCAGATCATTGCTAATGCGGGTGATATTATCCACATGGGTATATATAAAACCACCAGAAAAATAGTTTCCCAAGGTCCAGCAAGAGACACGCAAAGTTGATCCAGAATAGAGTCCCCATTCCAATGCCGGATAGATGTGCAACTTAGACTTCGCCGAACCGCAATAAGGACGCCTCCACCTCTAGAGCACAGTGTTTTCGCAGCATCTCGATCCTTGCGGAATACTTGGCATAGATTGGGGTCGAAGAATTCGTTGTCGAAGAAATCCATATTAATCCAAGTTTCAACTAATATAATAACGTCATAGTCACACTGCGATGATGCCAAATAAACAGCGTCCGTCTTCGTTCGCATGCCGGATATTTTTTGGAAAAATATTTTCCGGCTGGAGCTGTCACAATACGTAGATGAGATGAGATGAGGCGGCGCAGGTTCATGACGCGCAGGCAGCGGAGGCAAAACAACAGGTGTAGGATTAGATAATGCTGGGCGCAGATCACAAGCAACCAATCCAGTGGCAGCCTTGAGCAGCGATATGGATCGAATTTTGACTGAGTTGTCTGTAGCATCCAACAGGCCCGCAAGAGGTAGATAAGGTCGTGTGCTAAAACAAAACCAAACCATAAACAACGACGTCAGACGGCCACAGCTGTTGTTGTTCGTACCATAAGCTGCGCTCAGCCAGCAAAGATGGGAATGCAAGTCCAAGAAGAGCCTTAGGGAGCAATCCAAAGTCGTAGAAAACTTAAGAGTATCAGGCCCGCCAGCACAGCATAAACCGAAGATCCAACGGCAACCCGAGCTTTGCGCAACATACAGCCGCACAGCAGACGATGAAGATAATAACTTCGGCAAGAGTTGTTGTAGCAGCGGGAGCGAAAGCATAGCTGCCAAGAGCTCGCATGAGCGGGCGTCAACCACACCAAGCCGTTGGCGAATGTCGCACAAAAGGGACAGCCCCATCTGTTGTTGTTGTTGGTGAAATGGAAGTCGGGCAGTGGATGACGAGTGCAGGTGAAGAGGGTGACGACGCTGCTGTGGGGTCTGTGACGTAATTTCGCCATCGAAAGGGGAAAACATAAACAGGGTATCGGTGTTCTCGATCATACCTCCGCATTCAGGCTTGTCGACCCTTAACCATCAGCTGAGCGGGACCCATTAATTCCTAGCTCTAGCGGGAGATGTGGGGGGGGTTTTTGCTGAGGATAAGGATTGTTACGTCAGAGGTTTTATTATAGAGTCCCTCCTGAATCTACACAATGAGACGATCCTCATTCGAAACCAACACGCAACACAATTGTCTCATACTCCGTAAAATATGAAACAAGGCAAAACTAAACTGCAAAAAAAAATTGAGAAACGAGAAAGCACGAATAAGTATTTGAGCCTGCAGGGGTGGCTTTGGCTGTTGTTCGCCACACCCTATATCTTTACCCTCCCAACCATGGTCCTTCTTGTAATTGTTAGCGAAAGACCCCAAAAGTATTTACGTATGCATCAGTTTGTTAGTCTCCCATGCCATAAATAAGAAAACTTAAGAATTCATCATCATTACAATAATTTTTTTTAATAATCAAACAAAATTTCCTTTTCCATCTTTTTCAGTATACATCTCCAAATTCACAATAATAAACAAAATCCTACTATAATTATTTTTCTTCTCTCATGTCTACCAGCTTTTAATGCCTAATTTATTTATTTATTAATTTCTAAACCCTATCATTATGTAGCTTATTTTATTTACTTAATGTTAATTTTATTATTTATTTAATCATTCAAAATTTTATTCAGTGTCATTTTTAATTCTATTTTGTTTGGTTTAAAACAATGATAATGGTAATGTGGTGCCTAATTAAGATGCTAGAAAAATATTATAAAAACTATACCCATTTACTTGTTTTTATTTTAGTTGTATTTTTGTTTTTTTTTTTTTTGTTTTGGGTCTACATAATTTTATTTATTTATGATTATTTTATTTTTATTTAGCTTCAACCTACATCGCACAATTACAATAAATCAGTTTCTATTGCTGAAAAAGAAAATATGTATATGCAAAGGGAACAAAATAATTAGGTTGTAATTCTCTCAGTGTAGCTCATGTTTTGGTTTTACATTTAACTGCTTTAAATTTACGATGATAACATGAATCAGAATCAAAAGAGGAATTGGCAAAATAACAAAAATCAATCGATGCTGATAAGCATTAATGCCGGTAATCAGCCTTTACACTGGGCGACATAATTTGGTTTCTGTTTTCACTCACCCACTTTGTTGTTCTCGAAGAAGGCCTTCTTGTCGATGATGTTTTGGGAGTATATTAGGGGAAAATTATAAATTAAAAATATAGCCGCATAATCTTAATTTGTTTGTTTGTTTTTTTTTTTATGATTAATATTTAAAATATGGAAAAGTTATTTAAATTTTTTTTTTTTTTCAGTTACGTTTTTCATATTTGATTTTAATTATACGACATATTATTTATTTTATTTTACTGTGTTTAGTTACGTTTTAATTTGTTTTTTTGTATTCTTACTGGCAACGAAACTTTTTTATTGCACTGTACGACTTTAGTTGGATTTGCTAAGCTCATATTGACTGCTCATATGCATCACCATCACTACCACTGCCAATGTTTACATCTTTTACATGCCTATTTTAACTTTTTATTTCTTATTGGATTTAAGACACTTCATTTATTTCAGCATTGGGTAATAATGACGCGAGGGTTTAACTCTATTGGTATTTAATAAATAAAATAAGATTTATATATATGTATTTACACTATTCTGCACGATTTTTTTTTTTTCATTTTGAGGTCGGGTTTTCTTTTTAGATTTTACATTTTAACTAGTTGTATATTTTATGAGTTATTTTTTTAATCCATTCCCTCGTCTTCGTTAACTTTTAATTTGTCACTAGATTTTAAGGGTTTTTAATTTTTAATTTTTTTAATTTGCACTGTGTTTTACACGTTTTATTTTTTGAGTCACTTTTTGTGGGTTTTTCTCCGCTCCAAGCTGCGGCGAACTCCAAATTAATTTTCCCCAGCAGAGATAGCTGCTCCAGCCGCCTTTTTTGGCCGGCGCTGAATAGCGTAACCAATCTGCTCTGCTGCCTCGTTTAGCTACAGGAATTAAATTAATTAATGTTGTGCCAACGAGCCCAAGAATTT